CCCTTTGGAAATATGTTAAATCACCCTGCTTGAAAGAGTTAGGCCAAAGGCCTTCTGAAATCGGGGGGGGGCTGAACATCATTTATCAGCTCTTAGGAAACACTTTCATAACATTTTCCTCCACTGCGGATGCAATTCAGCCCCAGATAATAGACACAGTCCATGGGCACCCCAGCTCCCTGCACTGCAGGAGGCCTTGGCTGGACAGGCAGGTGGGATGGGGCCATCACACACAAGGTGTCCTTGTGCAGGGCCAACCTCAGGTCTGAGCCCCTGGCACGCTGTGGGTCACTGTGCTACATCTGCCCCACACCAGCAGCTGGGCTGCATGATTGTACAAACTCAGGAAGGAAGTGACTCAAGGGTAAACAGGGGTGGAAGGAACCAGCAGCACAGACACCTTGTCAGCCACAACTTGCAGCAATGAAACGGAGGGGGACAACTAAGGGAGGGCACAGGAGGAGAAGCCATCCTCACCCTGAGAGTCCTCAAGGAAAGGCAGAGCAATGACCCACAGCTCCTGTGGGATGTGGAGTGGCAGCTTGCATTTCCTTGAGTTGTTTGCTTTGAAAGGAGGCTCCAGCACCCTTCTGGCATGGTCCCTCCCAGCACCACAGCAAACAGTCCAGAAGGGAACTTGGCTCCTGCACACCAACCTCCCAGCACCTGCTATCTAGGGATGGGGCATGGGGGGGTCTGCCTCCACCAAGAGCTCACCACAAGGGAGCTTCAGGGCTTAGTGACATCTCAAAGCTGGCCTGTTGTCCCTCTGCAGGAGGCAAGCAGGCAAGGGGGACAATGGGGAAAGGATCCTTCACCTTCCCTAGGCAAAACCTTCCTAGAAGTGCTTGAACGAAACACAGACCATAGTCATCCTATGGCAGCAACCGAAGACAGCTTTCAGTATCCCTCAGCATGTCCAGAGTGATCTCAGCCCCACACTCCCACACCAGACCAGAAGGCTCCCAAGAAAGCTGAAAGAAAGCACCTAGTGGTGCCAGACCTGGCCAGCAAAGCAGCTCTGTCCAGTCCCACAGGCTGCCAGAGCTCACCCCAGTGAGCTGTGAGGTGGGAGAGCCACCATGGAGAGGCACCACAACCACCTGCAGCTCTCGCAGGCCAGGAACCAGCCAGTGTGAGTGTGCCAATGGATCGTATCTGCCTGCAAGCAAGCTGCCCAACTCCTGCCATGGGAGAGGCACTGGGAAGAGCTGCAGCAGCCGTCCTATGCCTCACTCTGCAGCAGTGACCAAGCTCTACTCTGCTGATGGAACAAGAGGAGCCAGTCTCCTGGTCACTCACTCCATGTGAAGCAGGGTCTTGCGTCTGGAATTTACAAATGCTGCTGTTTGGTTTTGAACCAAACCTTGCCATTATGAGCCATAATGTCATGGTCACTGAGCCTGGAGTACCTACAACTAAGCCTGATTTTCAAGCAGCTCAGAAATGTTTCTGCCCATGTAAATTTAATTTCGTTGTTCTTTGCTCCCACAAATCTAATCTCCAAAGCCCTCTAACTGGATTTCAGCAGGCCCCTCAGGCTCCAGAATGACTTGGTCTGGCCAGCTGCACACCAAGGGCCAGGAGGGACTGTGTTTCCTGGCCACTTTATGTGACCTAATGAACTCCCCGATACCTGGCTGCATCAGATGTTCTCTGCAAAGGACCAGACTCTTGTGTGACCCACTGCTCTCTTTAAGCCATCCTGAGGGTTCTCTGTACAGCTTCTCAGATGCTCACAGCAGCCCCGCTGATGGCAGGGGGCACTCCACACCCGTGCCCTGGAATGCAGCCGGGACCCCTGAATCAGCAGGAGGGCTGTGAACCCAAAGCTCGTGGCGCTGAACAGACCAGGGGCCGGGGCTGGTGTGAGGGTGGCGGTGGGGTGGGGCTCCCCACCGCAGTTTCGGGATCGGCCCTTGTGTGGGAAGCGGCACTCACCAGCCTGAAATCAACTTTCTTCTCCTAAGGCACCAAAACTGCGTTTCCCCTCTGCCAAGGGGCAGGAGCAGCCTCGGGAAGGGGGAATGCAGGAAACCGCCAGGACGGAGGGGCCCAGCGGGGCTGCAGCGCGGCCTCCCCAGGGGGAGGTCAGCACCCCTGGAGGAAACGCGGCTTGGGGCGCGGGGCCACCGCCGGCTGTCCGGAGCAGCGCCCAGCGCCGGGGCCCGTTCACAACCGAGAGCTTTAAGGCGGCCCGTGCCCGACCCGCGCCGTTACCTCCCCGCTTCCAGGAGCGCCGGGGGCAGCCAAGGCCGCGACCCCCGGCAGGGCCCGCCCGGGGCTAAGTCCCGGGACTAGAAGCGGCCGGAGCCTGCAGCTCGCCCGCCGCACACCGGGCAGCAGACGCCGCTCTAACAACCACACCGCTGGGCTCACGGCTCAGGCCAGCGGCCGGCATCTTCCGGGCGCCGCGCTCGCTCCGCGCACGGACTGCTCTGGGCCTGCTGCCCGCCCCGCGGCCCCACTGCCAAGTCCGAGCACCGGCGTCAGCCCGGTACAGCCGCTCACCTTCGCGGGCCTTCAGGAGGACGGTGTTGGCGACGATGTTCTCCAGCTCCATGGGCCCGGGGGCGCCACCGCCTCCCGCCCGGCTCCGCGCCGCTCCCGTCCGCTCGGCCCGCGCCCCACCGCCGCTCCCCCCGACACCGCCGCCGCCGCGCCACGCCCCGCCCACCACCGCCCGGCCAGCCAATGCCTGACCACGCTCCTCCCGCGCCGCGCTCCCATTGGTCCATCCCCCCAGGAAGCCCGGCCCCCTCGGCCTAGCCGCTGCCCTCCTGTTGGCTTCGGGGCGGGCGAAGGTCTGAGAGGGCGGGGCGGGGAGAGAGAAGCGCGCGTCATTAGGAAACCATTGGCGAGGCTCAGCCGGGAAGAGGGAGCGGGTGCTGATTGGTGAGGGACGTGTCACTCAGCCACCGCTCTGGGAACGGATTGGATAAGGCGCAACAGAGGAAGAGACCCTCCTCCTTCTGCATCTGATTGGGTGTGGAGCTGCCACTCTGCTGCAGCGTGGGCCGTGATAGGGGCGTTCCGTAAGGGGGTGGGGCCGAGCGGGGCTTTGTGCGGGAGCCGTGGGCTCGGTTCTACTTAGTCGGCGGTGCCGCGCTGGGGTTGGGGTTGCTGCGGTGTGAGGTGTCCCGTGTCCCGCGGTGCTGCTCACGGCGGTTGGGTGGCCCGCCTTCCCTTCTTTGTAGCCTGGCCCTGTGCTTGCGATGGCTTTAATAATAAAGTCTTCGAGCACCCGTGTCTCTGGTGTTGGCCGGTCCCTGTGCCATGGTGACACGAGCTGTGGTCTCCCTTTTTCACCGCTGCTGTGAAGGTTTGGAGGTTCCCCGTCCCCGGGTGCCGCTGGCTGATGCCAGTGGCTGCTTATGTGCTGTCCTGGTAATTGAGCTCCTGGCTGAGTGCAGCTGGTCCCGCAGGCTTCCTCTGTCCAATGATTTCCTCTAAGAGCCCTTTTTTCACTGTACTTCCATTGCCAGCAGCTTTATCCTATCTGAAAATGAGCTGTAGCATGAGAACCTCTTCCCCAGCTGCTCCCCGGCAAGTAGGTCATTGATTTCTCTGCAGAGCTCAGTGATGTACTCAACTTAATGACCTGTCGGCCCTGCAGGTGACCTCCCACGCTCCCTGCTCCTCCTCTGTGTAAAGCCACTCATCAATCCGCTTACCAGTTAGCAAGTTGTGCCTGTCCTGCTTTCTGCTCCTTCTGACTCTCAGGAGCAGATGCCACCTCTGCCTTCCCATGGCTCCCATCACTGGCTCCAGCCCATGGGTGATGCCTCCTTCCTACCTTGTGTGTGGCTGGTGGCAGTGGGGCTGCCCCGGGTGTGAAGTATGTGGTACCCAGGGCACAGAGGGGCACATGGTGACAGGCAAATCCCTCCACCAGCCTCTGTCAATGGCAACCTGCTGGTGGGCCTCTGAGCACCGCTCAGACAGGCTGTGCTGGTGATCAGGAGGGAGAAGATCATGTCCTCAGGCTGTAGTGAGGCTGATAATAACACAAGTTACTCCAAGCACTCATTGACCCTGCAGTCAGTGCTGCCTGTGGTCCACCATGCCCTTCAGCATCCAATGGAGATCAAGTGTTGCATCTTCTGTTTATAAAAACGCAGCAATAAGGAGGAGGATGCTTTGCCCTGGCATACCTTGGAGGTGATCTCCTGTGTCACTCTGCCATGAGAGATGAGCTCACACCGTGAGCTTTCTTTTTTTAGAGCTGCTTTCCTTTTAAAGGTGGCACACACTTATTTTGAGCTTCAAATGTGATGAATTTGTTCCCATGCATTTGCACACTTAACCCTTAGGTTGCTACTTTCCGCTTCCTCCCAGCTGGCGTTTTGCAGCACCATGGCAAGAGTTGTTGGCCACGGAATGCTGCTGAAGCAGCATGAGTGTCCAGAGGGGTCCTGGTGTCCCCATAAGAGCTGGTGGCAGTGCAGATGGTGGAACTGGCACTCTGCTTTTTAGCTGTGCAGAGGGGACCTTGCTGGAGAGGGCTTAAATCAGGGGAGTAAGTAAAAATAATCTTGAGAAACTGAAGAACCAGCTGAAAATGCAGGATGCAATTCCAGGCAGAGGTAGTCCCTGGGGCAAAGTGGGGGACCAGGTGCTCCCAGACTGTGTCCAGCCCATGGGATTTGATGTGTTAGAGATCAGCCTGAAGCTCCCTTTGGTGGCTCTTATGTCACCCTGTTGCCAGAACAAGCTGAATGTGTCAGTGACTCCTTGCCCAAGTAGAGGGGTCCCTGGGTGCCCTCAGTCCAGCTGGTCCCTGTCTCTTCCTGCCCTCCAGCATCCTGGAGCTGTGTATCCACGCCCAGAAGGACGAACAGTGCCTGCTCCCTGTGTCAGCCCCAGTAGTGCTGTGCAAGGATGAGGTCAGGGTGCAGGAGCCAGACACTCCCCAGGGTGCTGCCCATGGGGCTGGTTCCCATTTGGCAAGTGCTCCTCTCCCTGCCCAAGTCCCCATCAGACACCCTCATCTCCCTGGGTATTTTTAGAAGCAAACTGCTGTTTAATTATGAGAAGGAGAAAGGCGACCACAGAGGGGAAGCCAGGCAGCAGCGATAGGGCAGCTCCTTCGGCAGACAGGGCCAGCCGGGCTCCAACCACCAGGACCAGCCATATCCAGGGGATCAGTGCGAGGCCCCCATCCCAGCACCGTTCCACTGGGAGCTTCCACTGACCCCAAAATTCATGCCACAAGCCTCCATGTGTAGGGCCAGCAGGTGCAGGAGATGGCCATGGGATCCTTGCCTCTGCGAGTACCCCTATCCCTTCCAGACCCTCTGACCAGCTGCACCCACCCCAGCAGGGAACATGGGGGACGGTGGGGAATGGCATTCCTTGGGCTCCATCTCCCAGGTGCCAGTGGCTGTTTTTAGATGAGTGAAAGTCCGATGTTTGGAGGTTTTCTATTTTGAGCATAAAGCTGGAGAAGTGGAGCAGCTCCTGACCCCTGGGTGTCGGCGCAGCACAGGGCAGTGAGCAAGGCAGGGCGGGTGCAGGGCCCCTGCCACCCCTGGGGGGATGTGGTTGACCCCGGGTCTTCACCCTGTAGTTCCCCTGGTGGCCTCTTGCAACTCAGGCTGTGCCGGAGCTTGTTCCCATGCTGTGCCATCTTCCACACTCTCCCAAGGGACACGGCATTTCCAGCCCTGTGATGTCATTCCTCCTTTCCCTCCTGCAGCAAGATCCCAGTGAAGCCCCTGAGCAGGATGTGAGGTGTCCCACCCCAGCCCCACACCCCTCATACCACCCACAGAACCCCCATAGCATGGCACAGCTACATGCTGATGGGAAGCGAGAGGGGATGCCCTTGGCTGAATGGCACAGGTCTTGGACTGGGTTGCTGCGGTGGCATGGCCAGCTCACCCTGGCACTGGTGACACTGCTATGTGGGGGGTTTCATATCCCTGCAGCAGCCTGGGGTCTGTCCCCTGCATGAGGATGCTGGGTGTCATGAGATGGGGAGAGGAACTGGGGTTTGCCTGCCAATGGAAGGGCTGGCGCTTCCCAGAGCTGCCATGGTGAGTTGTCATCACTGGCAGGTCACCCATGCTGCAAGGGGGACAGATGGGTCACAGCAGGCCTGGTGATGGCTCCCGCTCACTGGGCTCCTGGGAGGCAGATGCCAGCCCTGGGCACAGGCTTTGGCCTCGTTTTATTCAAACCCTCATTTCCAAAGTACCTTGAGGTGCTCCCCAGCGCTGCAGTCCAGGGTCCATGGTGGGGCCGGGCACTGCCAGCTGCAAGCAGGGCTGGGAGCTGCATCCCCCATGTGCTGGTGTGTCCCTAGGTGCGGTGCTGGCAGGGGATGGCGAGAAGCCGTCGGAAGGCAGCTCGGAAGTCCCGGTTGAAGAGGGTGTAGATGAGGGGGTTGAGGCTGCTGTTGCAGTACCCGATCCAGAAGAAGAAGCTGAAGAGGGGCTTGGAGATGTGGCAGCCATCCCCACAGATAGCCCCCAGGCTGTAGGTGAAGAAGAAGGGGAACCAGCACAGCACAAAGGCACCCATCACCACAGCCAGCACCACAGTGAAGCGCCGCTCCTGCACCCGCATCAGCCGGCGGCGGCACAGCAACACGCTCTGGTGCTGGTTCCGGTGCCTCCAGCCCAACATCCTCATCCCTGGCTCCGTCTTGCTGGCAGCAGCGAGGCGCAGGGAGCGGGTGGCGAGGAGGGCTGCAGCCCTGCGGGTGGTCAGGCGATAGATGCGGCAGTACATGGTGACCATGATGAGGCAGGGCCCGAAGAAGGATGCAGTGCAGGAGGCCAGCACGTACCATGTCTCCTGGCTCAGCTGGCACTCGCGACCACCCGGCCGGGCCCACAGCAGCGGTGGCAGTGCCACCAGGGCCGCCGCAGCCCAAACCGCCCCGATCATCCCCTTCACACGCCCAGGGCTGCGGCGCAGGTTCAACCGGGCCGCGCGTGTGACGGCCCAGTAGCGGTCGAGGCTGATGGCGCAGAGGTGCCCAATGGAGGAGGTGCAGAGCAGCACGTCCAGCGCCAGGTACAGGCTGCACCACAGGCCCCCGAAATACCAGTAGCCCATCAGCTCGTTGGCCAGCGAGAAGGGCAGGACGAGGACGGCCACAAGGATGTCCGCTGAGGCCAGGGACAGCAGGAACAGGTTCTGCGGGGCCCGCAGGGCACGGCTGGTGGAGATGGCCACCACCACCAGCGTGTTGCCCAACACAGTGGCCAGCAGGACAGCCAGGGCGGCCAGCAGGATGAGCCCCATGGCTGCAGGTGAGTGTGGGGCACTGCTGCCACTGCTGCCATTACCGGAGGCATTGGAGAGGGCATCGGCTGGCTCCATGCTGGCCCAGCCCCTCGGGTGGATGAAGCCCCATGGGGCTGTTCCCCACCACAGGTGCCCTGCTCACCAGCCCCGATGCATCTTGTGCCACAGCCCCAGCATCGCTGAGTCCTTCTGTGGCCGTCCCGGCCACACAGCTCCAGTACTGACCTGGTCTGGTGGCAAGGAGAGGTCGTCCTGGTCCAGTAGTCACCTGGCCATGCACTCGAGCTGATGGCGCTGGGAGCCCCGAAGCAGCTCCCACCGCAGCCCTGCTGGCTGGGCTGGTCCCAGCCCGGGAGGAGGGCGGGCGGGAAGGAGGAAGGGACAGGCTGATAAATAACACTGGCAGGAGCCCAAGCGTCTGCAGGCAGTGGGAGACGCCATTATTGCCAACACTTAAAGGGCTTCTGCTGGGCTCACCATGGTGGGTGGGCTCCTGCCACAGGCAGCAGGGTGCACGGTGAGCCAAGGGTACTGCCTGACTGTCCTGAGCCAACATTCTGCTGATGCCCAGCCTGGCAGCCCTTCTCCAGCTGCACCACATGCCTCATCATGTGTGGAGCTCTGCCCCACTGACACGCTGCTGTGGCACATAATAGTGTGACATAGACCCGGCCATCTCAGCCCTCTGGGGACGAGGCAGGTGAGAGAAGATGCTGCCCATGACACTTTGGTACAATCTGGCTGCAAACTGCAGGTGCAGGGTTCGGCTGTGGCTTTGTCAGTGTGTGTCCCCATTGCACTAGCAGTGTGATGGGTGCAGTGTGTGGTGTGCTGGGCACCACGCAGGGCTGGGCTGTGCAGGGGTGGCGTACGGACAGGAGGGTGCATGGTGGGTGTCTGGTACCGGTGGCTCTGACTGTGGTTCTGACAGGGTTTGCAGAGGCAGGAGCCAGAGACACACATGCAGGGCGCAGGTGCTCAGCATTTATTAGACACCAGCTGAGCAGGGATGGAGGAAACCGGGCAGCCACGGAAGCAGCGGTGCCGGCTAGAGCCGGGTGGCTCCGTGTGGGAGCGGGCGAGGGGAGCCCATCCGGACGGTGGAGCCGGGCACCTCCTCGGGGTAGGAGAGCATGGGGTTGTCCAGCCCCAGCCTGGCCTTGTCCCGGGGAGGGCCCTCGCGCTCCTCCCAGCCCTCGGGGCTGCGGCAGCGGTCGGTGCAGCAGAGGGTGGCCCTGGTGATGAGCCGGTCCAGGGGCTGCAGTGAGTGCATCCAGGTGGGGAGGAAGTCCCAGGTCTGCAGGCATTTGGGCAGGCGGCCAGGGCTGTGTGCCTGCAGCGCGTTCACCAACCCCACGAAGAAGAGGAGGCTGAGGAAGGGTGCGCCCACCCCCACCAGTGCCCGCCAGCCAGCCATAGAAATGCCAAAGATGAGGGAGGGCAGCAGGAGGAAGCAGATGATGAGGTACAGCACGGCAAACCAGCGGTACTTGGCCGTGCGCTCGCCCAGCGCCTTGGCCATGCGGATGGGCAGGCGGGTGAAGGGCAGGGGGTACCACAGCAGGATGCCGGAGATGTTGAAGAAGAAGTGGCAGAGGGCGATCTGCAGGGATGGCATCACAAGGGGGTCGGGCACATGGGCTTCCCCCAGCCCCTGCTTTGCCCAGTGCCCCCCGCCAGCCCAGCTATGCCTCCGGGGTTGCCTGTACCTGGAAGGAGCTTGCCAGCTTGTCCCCCGGGCTGGCCAGGGCAGCCAGGATGGCGGTGGTGGTGGTGCCAATGTTGGAGCCCAGGGTCAGTGGGTAGGCGCGCTCGATGCTGATCACCCCTAGGCCTGTGGGACAGGCACCCATCCCGTCCCATCACTCCTCACCAGTGCCATTCCCACAGTCTCACAAGGAGGCACAGCTCCTCTCAGCCCTCCAATTAGCACCAATGGGCCACTGTGGCTGGGAGCAGCACATGGCAGGGACAAGGCATGGCTGGGACTCACCTATCAGGGGTGTGATGGCTGAGGTGAAGACAGAGCTGCTCTGCACCACGAAGGTCATCCCAGCACCCACCACCATGGCGAAGTACCCGGTGAGCCAGCTGAGAGGGTGCGGGAGGTCTGCCATGACATGGGCATGGGCATGGACACAAGCATAGACATGGACACATCAGCTGGGAGCAGCCTGTAGCTCCTGGATGGTGATGGGGAGGGGTCTGTGGGGATGGAAGGTGGGGATAGGGATGGAGACTGGGGCAGGCAGGGTTCCATTGCACTCACCAGTGTTGATGACCTTCTGGATGGCTTTAGCCACTTGCCCCTTGAGCAGGGAGTTGAGGAGTTTGACCAGGAGGATGAGGCATGTGCAGAGCACGACAAGGGACCCGGCCAGCAGCACCAGCCCCACGGCCAGGTCAGGCAGCGGCGTGTCAGTGAAGAGGTGCTCACCTGCCCCACAGCATGGCTGGGAGAGGAGCTGGGGCCGGCCTGGCCCTGCTCACAAACCTGCCCTCCAGGACAGCCCCACACCTGGACCCCAGCCCCAACATGTCTTGGCCCTACATCACATCACCGCTCCAGCCCCATGCCCAGCATCTCTCCAGACCACATACAGCCCCCCAGTCCCATCTGCACCTCCCCAGCCTCATGACCTCTGCTCCCCAGTGCTGCCCAAGCCCCACTCACACTTCTGCCTGGTGATGTTTTGGAGGCTCTCGAGGCCCTTGGTGCTGCAGTGGCCAGGGCCTGTGCAGTTCAGGGGGGGAGCAAGATCCACAGCGGCTGTCTGCAGGGAGAGGGTGTTTGCAGTGCCTCCACAGAATCCTCAGCCCCTGCCCTCCTGCCACGCTCCATGGGATGGTTTAGTGGCCCCAGCAGAGCCATGGGCTGCTCACCTGCGCAGGTGCAGGACCACACCAGATGCGGATGAGGCTCCGGTTGCGCAGGCTCTCATCCCCCGTTGCAATGCCGGTGATCACTGACTTGTCCAGCTGCAACAACACATGGGTTGGAGGGGGCCCTTGGGGCTGACAGCACCCGCAGCCTGGGGACATCACTGGGATGGGGGCACCACTGTTGGCCTGGGGACGCTTGGATACAACCACGGTCAAAGGGACATCCACCAGCCTGGGAACACCACCCTTGGGGACACCACAGCTGAGGAGACCTGGATGATGAGCTTGGTGAAGGGCTCTGTGATGATCTTCAGCAGATCAGGGGCATCCTTCCCACTACGGATGTTGAAGGTGGCCACCACCAGGCGAGTGACGTGGTGCAGGTACCCTGTCACCACCTCCAGCGGCAGCAGCACCAGCACTGACAGCCAGTTGAAGCAGTCGTGCACCGTGGCACCGGCAAAGGCCCTGTGCAGAGGAACCCATCACCATAGGGTGGCCCCTGGGGAGCAGCTCCCAGCCCCCCAGGTCCCTCTGCCCTGACCAGCTCTCACCGTTTGAACTCACTGCGGTCACCAGCCTGCATGAGGGCCACAATGGTGTTGGTGACGGAGGTGCCGATGTTGGAGCCCATGATGATGGGGATTGCAGAGCGCACCTCCAGCACTGGGGACACAGAGACCTGTTAGCCCCATGTGGCTTGGCTCAGGGTGATCCCATCCAGCTACCCTATTCCCAGTCTCAGGTAACCCAGGAGTCCTGTGGGGGCACTCACATCCTGAGGAGACCATGCTGACGATGATGGAGGTGGAGGTGGAGGAGCTCTGCACCAGCACAGTCACCAGGATGCCCACCACCAGCCCAGCCACGGGGTTGGAGAGGATGGCATTGTCCTTGAAGATGTCTCCTGCCACCTTGCCTGCAAGGAGCATGAGCAGCAGCATGCTGGCACAGTGGGTGCCAGGCACCCAGGCACCCCCACCACCCTACCTCCAGCCAGCTGGAAGGCAGAGCTGAGAACATCCAGGGAGCACACGAAGAGGTACAGGAACCCGAACATCAGGGGCACCTTGAGAAGGGAGACACAGATGGACTGGACCCTGGCCCAGTACCCCAGCTCTGCACAAGACAAGAGAAAGTGTTAAACACTGGTTGTGGCGCAGCCCTGGCTCCCTGGGCTCTCGCAGCCCTACACCATCCTCCCATGGCAGGATGCGGCTCGTGTCCCCAGCCATGCCACCACTCCCTGGGTCCCATCCATCTCCTCCCACCCTTGAGTGCCTTGTGCCCCCTGCCTCCCTCTGGCAGGTCTCTGTGGTATTCCCCAACCCGGGTGCTGTGTGCCCGGGGTCTCACCTGGCTTCTGCAGCTCATCCAGACCAAGCCGGGGCCCCTGCCAGGGCAGCGTGTCCAGCTCGTACCGCTCCCGGCCCTCGCGCAGGCGCCCCGGGGAGCCGGGACAGAGGAAGCCATGGTCAGGGCAAGGCACCGCTCCCACAGTGAAGGGGCAGGAGTGGGCACCCGGCAGCCGGTGCAGGGCTGGGGAGAGGGGACAACCGTGTTACAGCCCCATCCTCCTGTAGAGGAGAGCCGGGAACTGCCTGGGCCAGGATCTGGCCAGAAGCAGAGCTGAGCACAGCGGGGTGAGGAAGAGGAGGAGGAGGAGGAGACTGGGGGCACCTACCTTGGGGGCTGGGGCAGTATGCGAACTGGGGCCCGTGCATCACCCTTCCTGCCCGCACCGGGCAGCGAGGCAGCACCGGGCTCTCCCTGTGGTACGGCAGCATCGCTCCTGCTGAGGCTGAGCAGAGGCAGCCTCGTGTCAGCACAGCTGTGCTGCAATGACCACCACAAGCCTCCCCAATCCCTGCAGTGCCGGCACCACCGAGGAGCACCATCCCATCACCCAGTGGTCCCCTGGCCCACCAGTCACCACCGTGCCAGCCCAGTGAGCTCCTGCAAAGGCAGGCAGGAGACATGGGGAGGGGACCACTCCTGCCCAGTGGCCTGCTCACCTGAGGCTGGCCTGGCACTCAGGGCAGCACTGTGTCCACATGCCACATCCACATGTCTCTCCAGCGAAGTAGCCTGCGAAACACCACAGCCCTTTATACTCATGCCAAGAGCAAAGTCTAAGGAGCCTGCATTGCCCCTCGCCTCTGCTCGCCGCTCACCTCCTCCCCAGAAATTCCTGCAGTTAATGGGTAACCCCACAGCATCCCCATCAGCTGCAGCACTGCGGTGGGATAGGGCACATGGCACCGGGTACCGGTGCACCTCTCCCTGCCTGAGGCTCAGCATCGGCCTTGAGCAAGTGGCAGCCAGTGGTAGGAGGTCAGACAAGGCAGAGCTGGAGCCCAGTGCCTGAGAGGCAATGCTAGAGCAGCCTCAGCTCTCCATCACTTGGTGCTGGGTTCTTCATGCCCTGCACCAGAGGAGGAGGGCTCGGTGCTGGTGCTGTCAAAGTGTCCCAAACTGGAGGAGAGGCCACACACACATCCACCTTCCTTGGAACCATCTGAGCATCAGCTCTGCACAGGACGTGCGGTCCTCGCTGCCTGGGCATTGGTGGTGGGTTACATCAGCATCAGTGTGATCCTTGTGCCCTGTCGCTGCTGGTGATGGTGCCACATGGCCTGTCTCAACCCATGCCAGCAGCTCGGTGTAGAACAACCTGCAGCACTGTGAGGGCTGCATGAGGCAGAGACTGCGTTTTCCCAGCATGTGTGATAGGGTGGGCAGGAGGGGAGCGACGCCAGCGCTGCTGTCACCACCTCCTCGATGATGTTTATCATTACCTGCTGTTTACGCACCTCTAGCCAAGTTTCCATCCACCCACAGGGTGCTCAGTCAGCTCCTGTCCACGTCTGCCCGGGGAGAGCCAAGGGCCAAAGGCTCCTCCAGCCCAGTGACTGCGGGGAGTGGGCATAGAGAGTCCACACAATCACCACATCCTCATGCCTCCATCACTGGGCACTCCCAGGACCCATCACCAAAGACAAGCCAGCTGCAATTGTATGGGGAGAGCAAGTGGAGGTCCCTTGGGTACCCCAGGGTGCTCCTGCCACTGCTGGACCATCACTGAGCCTCCACCAGGTCACAAACCAATGGAGCCAAACGCCGGGGAGGTGCCACAGCAGGGTACACAGCAGAGGCAGAGGGTTGGGGACCTGTTTGTTCATGGGGCACAGCCAGTGGCACCCGCAGAGCCCTGTGCCAGGCTGCAGTGGGCTGGAGGACCGTGTCCGCACTTGCCCTGTGCCCGGGGGCTCTTGGCTGGCTGCCACACAATCATTAACGCAGTGAGGCCCTGGCAGCTCTGGCTGTCACTCATTGACAGGGTCAGGGCTGAAGTCCTTGGCCATGCCGGCCCCACAGCTTCCCCTACACCATCAGCAGTGCTGGGAAAACAAGCTCCTGGCACCGCTCCTTGCTGCAGGGCAGGGTGGCACTAGAGCCGAGGGCTGACTCCAGCCCTGCCCTGGCCCTGGGGTGGCTCTGTGGGGTATGGGAAGGCTGGAGGGACATTACTGCCCGGAAAAGTACCGTCTGGCTTCAGTGGTGGAGGAAGGAGAGGAATGCACGTCAAGGCAATGCTTTTTATTTCCCCTGGTTTCACAGGACAGACAGGACTGAGCAGCACCACAGACACAGAGGGCTGTGACCAGGGCTGCAGGGCTGCAGCTGGCCACGGCAGTGTGGGGCTGGGTGGCCATGGCCCTTGTCCCTGCGTGAGCTACAGGGCTACCTTGGGTCACCCTCTGTCTCTTGCCGGGCAGTGGTGGCAGAGCGGTGACCCCAGGGCACAGCCAAGCAGGGCCCCAGCAAGTGAGGACAATGGAGGGATCACTTGGCTGTTGGGGGGAATGCTTCCATCACAGACTGGATCTGGGACCTCTGGGGACATGGGGCTGCTGGGGATGGGGACCTGTAGAGCACAACCAGGTCTGGCAGAGCTGGGCTCAAGGTTACAGCCCAGCCCAGCCGCTGGCAGAGATGGCAGGCTGGGCACACGCTGGGTACCTGCACACAGGCTGAGATGCTCAGCACCCAGGGATGCTGCATTCCTCTGGCATCAGAGAGCTGAACACCTCCAGTCCTGACCAGGCTGGGGCAGGGGACCTACTGGGATCTGCTCCTGTGGGTCGCTTCAGCAGACACCCAGGAGCCACAGGGTCTCTCTGCAAGGGGGAGAAAGCCTCCTTTGGCACGACCTGTGGTCTGTGTGGCGCAGGAACCAGGCACCCTGCTCCACAGCAGTGCTGTCATGGCATTATCAGGCCCAGCCATACTCACACAGTGTGGACAGTAACAACCTGCTCTGCAGGGCCTGCAGGACCATGCACTCCAACTATGGGGAATCCCTATTCCTGCAGGGTCAGGGACCGGATCCAGCCCTCAGCTCTGGACACTTCTGACCCTGCCTGCCCACAGCACTAGGGTTGGGGCTGCCACCCCACCCTCTCTATCCTGAACACCTTTTGGGTGCTTTCCCTACCCAAACAGTCAGTGGGGCTGTGCCAGCCCAGCACAGGCAGGATTTGCTGGGCGGGCAGCTCTGCCACAGGCACTGGGTAGGACAGTGCCAGGCACGTGAGATGTTGCAAAGTGCTTTGCAACGAGGGTTCAAACTATGTACAGGACACCCTTAACGTGCACCAGGATGTGACCCACTGAGGGGCAATGGCAGCTGCTCAACCACTCACAGTGACACGACACGACAGTTTGGGGCAGGACGTGGATGGATCTGTGGTCCGGGCAGTGTTGGCAGTGCAGGGCAGGGGCTGGTTGAGCCCATGTTGAACCCCGGCATGGCCCGAGGGCACCACACGCCGGTGCAGACGTGCAGCAGAACTCATCGGAGCTCGTGGTCAACTGGAGGCTGAGCTGGAGTGGGCTCTGCGGGCTGGGGATGGCTGCTCCCCTCAGAGCCCGGGCGATCCGGCCCCTCGCAGGCGCTGCTGTCCTGCTCAGGGAGCTGGAGGAAGTCAGGCAAGACCAGGTCCTCCTTGGAGAGCAGCCCACGTTGGTCGTTGGCCCGGCAGCTCTGGGCACGGTTCAGCAGCTCCACGAGCCCTGGGGGAATGCAGGTTGTCTGCCTGAGCCTGGCACTTGGGCTCTTGTGCTAACAGCTGCCCTCACCAACTGATGTGACCCTGAACATGTCACAGGTACAGGCACCCACACCTTGTCCCAGCTCCATGCCAGCACCCATGCATATCCCCAGCATACCAGGGAACCCTGGGGCCCTCACAGCTCATGCCCAGCTTCACAGGACACTGCATCCACCCCCAGCAGACTGGGGGCCCTGAGTCTCTCACCCCATGTTCTGCCCCAGCCCCTCAGGTTTCAGACACACCAGCTCTCACCTTCCAGGTCATAGGTGCGGCGGTTCAGGTTTGTGGCAGCAGAAGAATGGGCCCGAGAGAAGGAGGAAGACATCTCCCACAGTGTATCAGGCTCTTCTGTTGGGCTTCCCTCCTGTGATGAGCAGCCCAGGCTTCACCCATGGGGCAAGGAGGCAGCACTGCCACATCCCCATCACCCTCCCACAGCCTGGCTCCCCCCTTGGTGCCCTCTGTCCAGCCCTGTGCTATGTGCCAGTGTTGCAGCAGGACATATGTTCCCCATGGACCATGGCAGCAGCCTTGGGGCATCCCTGAGCAGGGCAGTGGGATTTGAGCTCACCTCACTCCTGAGTGGGGATGGGGCAGCCGCAGCACTCCCTGTCACTCGCATGTCTGCAAGATAAGTGATGCTCAGTGTCTCATGCCAGTACCCCAATCCTGGCCCAGACTGTGACAGGATAAAGCCCATCCCACGGAGCAGGAGCTATGGCCAGCAGAAAGCAGCCTGGCCCTGTGAGTGCTCTGTGGTGGAACATGGGTTGGAGGAGGACACTTTACCTGCTGGCGTTTCCAGGACAAGTTTCTGAGCAGCCACTGTGCTGACCAGCATCTCCAGGTCCAGGGCAGCCAGCTCACCTTGCTGCAATGTGAAGGACCAGCAAGTGTCACACTCGCTGTGGCATGGCAAAGGCAGCCAGGCTGAAGAACCTGTGAGCTCCCCAGCCAGACCCTGCTGGGTCATGGGCTGGACAGTGCAGAGCACACCCATGGGTCCCCCTCTCAAGCTCACAGTGGATGTGGTGCCATGGCCCATCTCAAACATTGGCATCCCTCCATGTGCCTGCAGTACAGACCACTGCTCCTTAACACTGTCAGCAGCCCCTGGCCCAAGCCCCAGACCTGTTTCCCCCCCCCGGGATCCTGTCTGCAGGAGGCTGGGTGAGTGCTCACCCTCCGCAGCAGCACCAGCTCCACGCTCACACCGTACTTCCCCAGCACAGGCTGCAGAGCTTCCCGGATGCGCTTGGTTGGCTTTGCTGTGATGCGGATGGTCTTCTTGAGGGAGGAGATTTCCAGGCTGTGGATGGGGGAGAAGAGACTGCCTGGAGGCAAACACAGACAGGCAGGGGCAGAGCAAGGGGTTTGGGACTGCCTGGGGGCAGTTGGGTGTGGGTCACAGTGCATGGCTGCACATGATGTGGACCAGACGTACGAGAAACAGCATCAGCCCCAAAGCTCCCACTCACTCAAAGCTTATCCTGTTCTCCAGCTTCACTTCCTGGTCTGCCAATACGGAGCACTCCTGGTCCAGCACCAGCGCTTTCTGCAAAAGCCAAACCATAAGGAGAGAGCAAGCAAAACAGCCCGTGGTCCCAGCCTGGAGGCAACATTCCTCTCTGCCCCTCCTACCTGCTCATTCCCCACCAGGTAGACCTTGATGTCGGGGAGGCTGAAGCCACGTTTCTCACAAATCCCCGCCAGCATGTCACGGATGGAGTGGCCAGGCCGGATGGAGGCCAGCGAGGCTGTGCCGTCGGGCAGGTACACACAGCAGTACTTCATGGGCTTGGCTGGCAGCTCTGCCTCACTGCCCCCCAGACTCTTCCGATGGCCCTGCAGGAGCGATGCGGCGCGATGAGCCCAGCCGGTGGCAGAGTGATGCCGTGGGGCCGGCATGGGGACAACTCACCTCTGTCCAGGGGCTTGGGGCCGTGCTTCCTGAAGACAGGAAGCCCAGGTCCAGGCTGGCGGAGGAGTTGAGTGAGCCCTGGGACTCCCGCCACAGCATGGCACTCCCACCACCTTCTCCCCCATCTAGGACAGACAGAAGGACAGTGATAGGGAATACAGACACTGTTTGGGGGTGGTGTGGTCCCTCTGCCCCACTCGGCACAGCACCTACCTGCCCAGGAGGGCTCCCTCCTCTCTCCCTTCCTGAAGGAGCGGCGGGGGCTGCGGTTGGCACCACTGCCTGCCGTCTCCACACCCAGAGGCAGGGACTTGCCCAGCTTCAGCTTTGACTTCTGGGGTGAACAGAGAAGCATCTCAGCATGGGGACATCCGAGGCTGCCCCTTCCCTTTCGCTAGTCCCCTGCCTGCTTGTCTGTCCTCAGCCTGGGACTGGGTTTGCTCCGAGCAGCAAGGAAGGGACCCAACATCATTTCAGGTGAAGGGACAGGCCCTCGTCCCCTCCTTCCCACCCCACTCACCTTGCTGAGGTCGGGCGGAGGGCTGCTGCTGCGGGAGTGGGGCCGCAGGTCGGGCAGGGGCTGCCCCTGGCTCTCTGCCCGCAGGCAGGCCTGGTAGAGCGGGGATTTCACGAAGCGTGTGTAGCTGTCAAACTTCATCAGGTTAAAGATCTGCAAAAGGAGGACGTGTGTGCTCAAGACCCCGGCCCACCCACAGCTCGCCCCAGCCACTGCCCCGTGGCACAGCCCCATGGTGACAGCAGCGATGCTGGGTGATGTGCGGGGTGGTCCCAAAGCTCCCATCCTGCAGGTGCTGTTGTACCTGGAGCTGCTGGGTGCGAAACATGTCTGGGGAGGGGGTGGCCAGCATCTCCTCCCCAATCCAGGCCTGCTTGTCGATGTTCACGGGACTGATGGAGTGGCTGGAGAGGAACTCATCGTAAATCCGCCGTGCCTCCTGGGCCAGCTGGAGGGGAGCAGGGAGGTCAGGCTGAGGCCGGGAGCAGGGGGGTCAGGCCAAGGCCAGGAGCCCCTTCCTCACTGCTACCCTGCAGGGAGCTCCTGGTTCACCCCATGGAGGAACCTGAGCCCTGAAGGACCGAGTGTCCCCTTAGGACCAGCTCGGTATCTGGGCTTCAGGATGGGCACTGGAGCCAGGCATTCCCACCCAGTGCCAAGCTCTGGGCACAACACACCAGTCTCTCCACAGACATACAGCTGAAGGCAGGAACTGTCCCTCCAGCTGTGTGGATCTGTCCCCATGATCCCAATCCAGCTCTCTGCCCTTGGACTCTCTTTTTCTGCCAGCAGCACTCTCCACCCTCTGGCCACTCCACGACGGAGAAGCACACCCTTCAGATACACATCACATCCATCTCCTTATTCCTCCCACAAGAGCACCCAGCCTGCTCAGCCTCCCACAGCAGGGGTCTGCTGGGACATGCAGGCACAACAGCTACTCCCATGCCTGCCCACCTCCCTCCCAGCAGCTCTGTGACCATGGCTGCACGGAGGCCAGTACCTGCTGCGTGTTGCTGGCCGGGATCTGCTGGAACCGCTCGCATGCCTGCCAGAAGTAGACATTTTCAGCGCTGAACTCCTTTTTGAGGAACTCCTGTGGGGCAGAGGGAGCTGCTGGCCTGGCTGGCACCAGGACTGTGGGGCAGCCGGTGCCAGTCGTGAGAAGGAGCAGGGACCAAGGACTGGGCTGTGGCACTCACAGTGAAGTAGGTGACAGCCACACGGTCCTGCAGCAGCGTCTCGAAGGATTCAGCCCAGCTGACCACAGACCCCGGAGCAGAGCTGCAGCAGGCAGAGGGTCCCGGCAGGCTGTTCACACTGTGGTTGCTGCCGCGGGCCCTGGAGGCGTTTAACTCTGAGAGAGAAAAAGGGTCAGTCCTGGCAGCCTGGGTGCTCCCCAGTGTCACTCCCATGTCACCAGCAGCTCTCTGTATCTGCATCAGTTTCATCCACCTCATCCCAAGCAGAGCCAGCAGCCCTCAGACAGGGAGCACAAGGAGCATCACAGCAGCATCCTTGGTGGGTTGAGCTGGTGATGGCAGAGCTGGCACTTTCTGGCACGGCAGCCTCCCTGCCAGCACCGGCCTCTCCTCCCTGTGTCACCATGACTCCACCAGTGACTCACTTCCCAGGGGAACAAAGCGGATGTGTGGGGAAGGCACCCAGCCAGGGAGGGAAAGTGGGGAGGAAGGGGACCTGGGATGCACACAGCATGGAGGGAAGCTCAGAGGATGGGTAGGGGTCCTGATTTCGTTCACCATTCCTCCAGCCATGACGAGGAACAAACCCAGTGAGAGGAGGGCACAGAAAGTGTCATCTCCAGCTCCCAACCCAGAGGAAACCCTCTCCTGGGGAAACCCAAGGTGACCAAGCATTCCAATGTAATCCCTCCATCAAAAAGATGGAAGTTCCCAAGGGCAACTCCAGCTTTTGAACTGGTTTGGATGGTGAGCAATTGGCAAGAGAGTCATTTGCAAGAGAAGGTAAAGGTCTCTCCCAGCAAAGCTGGCAGGAGCAGAGGAGGAGTCAGGCTCCTGCTTTGCTGGGCTCCCCACCCTTTCCCTCCTGTCCAGAACAGGGGGTAAGTGCACACACTCTGCCTGTGGGAACATCAGCCACCAGCATCCCGCATTGGAAGGATCCTGCAGCGGGACGGAGATGGGTGAATGGACTGAGATATCTGATACACAATGAGACAGATGGACAAACAGACTCCCTCAGGAAGCCGGGGGCTGTCTGGTACCCAGGTTCTGCTTGCCCCAGGAAGCCTCTCAGCCCTCAGCACCCAAGGGTGCCAGCTGAGCAGGAGGGACAGGCACAATGGGATGAATGGGGGTATGGTGAGTCCCTTTCAGAGGGCTCATCCCAGAACCGCAGGGGCCCGGCTATGCACTCGCCCATGGCACAGCCTGTACTGACACAGGACCTGGCTCTCGGCTAGCTCCTTGCCCCTGGCATCAGGCTGCCTCTGGCTTCCCCCTCCCCTGCCGATGATGCTGGGCTCCAGCAGAGCAAAGAGCAGTCTTACCTCCATCTGACACAGCCGGACCCTGTGGGATGGAGAGAAGAGAGGTGAGAGGGGCCACACGGCACCTGCCAGCGTGGTGGAGCGGTACCCGGGTGAGCAGCACCACCAGGGCAAGACCAGTCCAAACCCAGGACACAGGTTGCCTGCAAACACTGCTCTTGTGATAGCTGGAACCAGAACGGCTGTCCCATGGCAGAGGCAGGACAGCAGTGAGCAGGGGTGGGGGGTTACAAGGGATGCACAGCTTTTCTTCCACCTCCTGCACATCTACTTCCCTGGGGCCAGCCAGCAGCTGGGAAAGGGCAGATGCTATCGGATGTAACCCTGCCACCGCTGCCCAGAGAGGAGAGAAGCAGCCTCCTCAGCACAGGAAGAGGAGGGGAGGAGGGGAGGGAAGGAAGGACAACCACAGACCTAGGCAGGCAAACTGCCTGCTCCCTCCTTCCTTGGGGCCGGGGCTACTGGAGTTGCAGATGCCCCAAACTAGGGACTGGAAGCTGCTAGCCCAGGGCTCAGCAGGACAGGAAGCCCTACAGCACCCCTTGGGCCATCCCAGATACCAGCCATGGGGACGCGGTACCCCAGAACCCACAGCAAGCAGGGACATGGGCAGAGCCTCCACAGTCAAAGCCCAGCCAAGAGGTGCTGCCTCTCATCGCCTGCCTGGGGCCCTACTGAAGTTCTCCCCACCCTGCCAGCCCCACACACCCCAGCCTACCCTGCACACCGCCTGCGTGTCCCCATCCCAGACCCACACACCCCAGCCTCACTATCCCACTCTTCCCTCTCCTTTCTTCCCCACCGCATATCCCGCTGCCACGCCCCTTACTCCAGCCCCACATATCTCTATCTTGCCGGCTCCTTGCTCTTCCCCATCCCAGCACTGTTAATTCTTGTAACCCCATCCCCATATGCCACTGTTTGTCCATTACCCCAGTGCCATACACCCCCACTTACATTGCCGTCTCAGACTCATAAACCCCTGTCTGCTTATTACTCCATCCCCATATGTCCCTCCCTGCCTGCTCCTATACTGCTGTCTGCCCTAATACCCCTCTACATCTCTGCTTGCTTTGAATACCCAAGTGCAGTGCCCAGCCCCAGAATTTTCACCTGCCTTTATCCACCCCACACCCCTGTGCCTGCCCGGTACCCAGCTGCACAGCGCCTGCCTCCTGCCCAGCCCCATACACCCCTCTGCCTGCCCGGCACTCAGCTGCACAATGCCCCTCCTGCCTCCTACCTAGCCCTGTACAGCCCTCTGCCTGCCCGTTATCCACTCCACGCTCCCCCGCCTGCCCAGTTCCCGGCCCCAGTCCGTGCCGCCGGGTGGGGCATCCCCGGGGGATGGAGAGCGGCGCCCGTGGCCAGGCAGGGACTCACCATGCGGCCGTTGTGGACCAGCAGCAGCTTGGCCTTGCCCTGCATGCCTGGCACCGCCCGGCCGAGCGCGCTACCGGCGCGGCCCGCGGCCCCGCAGCATCCCCGGCGCGGCTCTCCCGGCGCTCCCCGGCACTACCGCTTTCGGCTGCCACAGGAAGTGTCGCCTTGGGAACCGAGACCGCAGCGGGGGGAGCGGAGCCGCCCTCCCGCCCCGCGCCGCCGCCACCGGCCCCTGCACCGCCCCGGCAGGCACCGGCTCCAGCGCCGGGACAGGCGGTGCCGCTGCCCCGCCGCATCCCCGTCCCTGCCGCCATCAGCATCCACATCCGTGGCCCCATCTCTGTCTGCACCCCTGTTCCCGTCCACATCCACATCTTCATCCCTTTCCCCATTTCCATCTGCATCTACATCCATGACCCCATCTCTGCCTGCATCCTGTTCCCATCCACATCCACATCTCTATCCCCATCCCTATCCCTTTCCCCATCTCCATCTGCATCCACATCCACAACCCCATCCCTGTCTGCATCCCTGTTCCCATCCACATCTACATCCCCATTTCTGTTCCCACCCCTGCCTCCATCTGCATCCATATCTGCATCCCTGTTCCTAACTGCATTCCCATTCCAGTCCCCATCCCTATCCCTGTCCCTGTCACCATCCCAATACCCATCCCCAACTCCACCCCTATTCCTGCCTCCATTCATATCCATGATCCCATTCCCATCTCCCTGGCAGCAGTACCGGCACGACCCTCAGGGCCACCCCCAGGCCCATTGCACGGCATGGGGCTGGGAGGCAGCCGCATGTAACTAGGGCATGTGGCTGCTCCCAGCCCTGTGCCATGCAATGGGCCTGGGGGTGGCCCCGAGGGCCGTGCCGGTGCTGCTGCCAGGGAGAGCTGCCTGCACCACGGATGCTGGCAGGGCCTGGCAGAGGAGTAGCGGACTTGCCGCTTGGAGCCACCAAACTGATGCCTAAGCAGTTTTGCCCATCTCCTAAGGTCGGCGTTCCATGCTGATCAGCAACCACAAACCAGTCAAGGATATTTTAGGATATTTGTTAGGAAAATACAAGTAACTAACAGTTTGAGGATAAACCGCAGAGCACCATGGCAACCTGCTCATGGAAATGCTAATAACTGGGACGTAAGGTGGGTGATTAACCTATCAAAAGCAGAACCCTAACATTAAGTCGGGTGCAGATCTATGCGGAGAAAAATGAAGTGTTCCCACTGTGAACATGCACAAAAGCAGTGTGGCATTATCAGCCGCAGCCCTGGCAGGGGGTCTCCGGGCAGGGGTAGTGGAGTGTGGTCCCTGCTGCTGCCCCATTGGCCCCTGCTGCAGCTCAGAGCAGCAGTGGGGCAGGGGGTGATGGTGCTGCTCCCTGTCCCTTTGTTAGAGCAGAGCTGTGGTGTTTGGCTTGGCTTTGTAACAGGAGTTATAAATAAGAATGTCTCACCAAGAGTGCGTGACTCACGGTCCTCACCACAAGGATAACCTCTGCTAGGAAACCTGATCTGAGGGCCAAACTGCGGCATGAAAGAATCAAAGACATTGCCTCATTAATGTATTTAATGCAGATGGTGAACAGAAGAGCCTTTAACCCCACTTGGGCAAGGTGCCTGTGCCCCTTTGGAGCCCATTCCTGTGCCATCCCTGACCTCCGGTTCCCAACAGCCCAGCCCTTGCCCTGCTCCAGGGCCTGGTGGTTTCCCTTGGATGGCAGCGGGGACCTGTGGCAGGGGCTGACGTGGCCTTGAGCAGCTCCAGCCTCAGTGTTACCTCTTGCTGCCCTCCATGGGGGCAGCTCATGGGTGTTGGTGTGAGGGGATGGTGTGCTGAGGCATCACTCCTCACACAGGAGGCTGTGTCAGCCCCATGCACCAGGATCCCATCACCATGCTCTGCCCGTGGTGTCTGGTACCACATCCTCCTGCCATGCTGCCATCCCCAAGCCACCAGCTGGTCCCATTGGGGGAGAGATACCCTGTGCCCCAGTGCCCCAGCCTGCAGGACCTGCTTTATTCTGGGGGTAGGGGATGGCGGGGCGACAGCTGGCTGGGGGATTTGCTGAGGGCATTATTTAATGCTGTGGGTAAATGGAGAGACAGCAGCTAATTCTGGAGCCCATAATCCTCTTCCTCCCCTGGGATGGGCAGTGTGCCAGCCTCACAGCCTCCGGCGGGCCCTGGGGATGAGCCCCTGGCAGGTCCCCAGGCGTGCTGCGTGCTGCAGTGACTCCTGGACCATGGGTGATGTGCAGAAGGTAAGCGGGGCCCGGTGACATCCCAACTGCGCCAGGGCATCAGCTCCCAGTGTCAGTGCTGGGCAGGCTGACAGAGCAGGACTGGGGCTTTACGATGGGCAGTGTCCACAGCTCGCACAGGAGCCAACAGGGCTCTCAGAGCCAGGGACAGCCACCATGGGGGGACCAGGGTTGGGTGGATCTGCCATGGGGTCACCCCAACCTGGGACAACATGGGAGCAAAGCCCTGGTGCTCACTCAGGCCATAGACATAGAGTACCACGGTGAACAGCATGCCCAGCTTCCCCCTCTGAAATGAGGGTGCTATGCAGTGACCTGGCACCCTGCAGGACTCACCCAGCACCCCACGCCCCCAGGGGCTGCTCTCCGTCATCCAGAGGCTGAAAGGATCCCCAGAGCAGGAGGTCCGCATTGTCCTGCTGGGGTTGGACAACGCGGGGAAGACCACGCTGCTGAAACGCCTGGCGTCTGAAGAGGTCAGCACCATCACACCCACCCAGGTAGGTGCTGCTGGGGGCCAGCAGGAGGGTGGCAGGCCCTGCCCTCCCCTGCCAGATGCCAGAGTTTGTTCCTGTTCCTGTGCAGGGCTTCAACATAAAGAGCGTCCATTCGCATGGCCTCAAGCTAAATGTCTGGGATATCGGGGGGCAGCGCTCCATCCGCCCATACTGGAGGAAGTATCTGGGCAGCACAGACCTGCTGGTGAGTGGGGTGGCCGCCTGCAGCCCCCCCAGCCCCGCACATGGAGAGCCATGCCCTCTGCATGGGGCCCTTACAGCCACTGACTGTCCCGTTTGTCCCCATGGCAGATTTATGTCATTGACAGTGCAGACCAGAAGCGTTTTGAGGAGACAGGACAGGTATGAGGAGTCTGCTGGGGGGGAAACTGGGGGGGTCCTGGGGCTCAGGCTCTTCTGGCACCAGCTCTTTGAGGACTGGAGTGGGAGTGAGGCTGCTCTGTGCCATGTCTCCGCACTGCTGTGGGGGCCAAGCTGTCCTGAGAGCTGTGTGGGAAGGGCTCGTGATCAGTCTCAGCATGCAGAGCCAGCCCACTCTATGGCACATCCATGACCAGCAGCTCCCCCTGATCCAGGCATGATGCCCAAGGGGTACCCAGCATGGGGGTGACTCTGCCCCTCAGTCCCCAGCCCTGCTCCCACCTCCCCAGCACCAGGTGAGCCATTTGACCAAGTGAAGATTTAGAAGTAGCAGATGCAGAGTTACAAACCCTGGGAATGAAGCTGAAGAGGGGAAGGTGAGACTCCAAGTGCCAGCCTTGGCTGTACCAGCACCAGACGGCGGCGTGGGTGTGCCAGACAGCACAGGGCTGAGAGCAGCTCCTGTAGCTGCCCTTTGCCCAAGGCTCTGGGTGCTGGTAGTGCTTCAGACCTCAGGCAGTACTGCATGCGGCTCCGGGATCTCTGCAGGGCAGATGGAGCTTCCTCTCCCTTGGGATGTCCAGACCTCACTGCTTCTTTGGCTGCAATAAGAGCACCAGAGAGAGGGGAGTGTGGCACTGTGGGGGCAGCCCACCCTGGGCAGCTCAGGCAAGCAGCCCAGCAGCTCTATGGAGGAGGGCAGCAGCCCTGGGAGATGGCTCTATCTTGGCAGGAGTTGGCAGAGCTCACTGAGGAGGAGGCCCTCACAGGGGTCCCGCTGCTGGTGTTCGCCAACAAGCAGGACCTAGTGACTGCTGCACCCGCAGCTGAAATCGCAGAAGGGCTGAGCCTCCACACCTACCGGGACCGGGAATGGCAGATCCAGGCCTGCTCAGCCTTGTCTGGGGAAGGAGTGCAGGTAGAGCTGGGGGCCTGCAGGCTCTGCAGAGCTGGGAGAGAACCGAAGGACCTGCCATGCTCTCGGGGCTTTGCTCACATATCTCTCTTCCCTCCAGGATGGGATGAACTGGATTTCCAGCCAGATCATGAATAGGAAGAAGTGAGAGCTGCAAGTGCCAGAAGGGACTGAGCTGCAGGTCCCTAAGCCACAGCCAACCCCCCTCATTCTTAGACTCCCCCAGAGGCTCAGCAGGGCCCTGAGCCTCAGACCGCCATGCTCAGGGGTGCTTCCCACCCAGACTTTCACTGATCATTCAGCTTCCCCTCTCTCTGCTTCCCCCAGCTCATAACCCCCGACCCTCCTGCAGCCCTTGTGCTGTTGCAGGGAAGCACATGCCCCACTGCATCAAGGACTTGCCCACCTCCAGAACAAGAACCTGCTCAGGACATGTCCATCCACACTGCTGGCACCCTCTGCAGAGGCTGCTACGGCACACACACTGCACAGAGCACACTGGGCACCCCACGATGGCACCAGCTACATCCTCTGATATGGCACCTACAGCCAACTGAATAGTGTGTATTCCACTCTGTTCCCATAGGATGTGAGTGGTGCTGCCCCAGCCATGGCAGTTGGCTCGGGAAGGCCGAGTTCAGCTCCTTTCACTGGCCAGAGGAGCTCCCACATGTGCACAGGAGCTGGCACAAGGACACAGATGGGACTTGGCTGGGCAGTCCCCAATGGAGGGGTCACATTGCCTGCTCACAGCTTAGCTGCAGCTGCGGGGGCTGCTCTGCAGGGAGCCCTGGGAATTCCATGGTCCTCAACGCACCCGAGATGGGCCTTCTGCACCCAGCTGAACATGCTCCTCCCGAGGGCTGGAAAGTGCAGCTCCTGCCGCCAGAGCCCCACACCTCTGTGCATGGGTGGGAGACAAACCACAGCCGAGTGGCAGCTTCTGCTGCAGGCAGGCGGCCCCGCGGCCCTCAATAAACCTTTCTGTGACCTCCACACCGCCTCGGCCGCTCTTTTCCGCGGTGCCGGGACAGCGCTGCCCCGGCCCCACTGCTCGGCGGCCGGTGAGGACTGCGGGGCCCCGGGCCGAAGCCCGACCCCCGTCGCCAACGCCATCTTGCATGCCGTTGCCATGGCGACAGGCTGCCGGAGAGGGTCACGTGCCCCGCCGGCTACACGTGAAGGGCACGAGGAGGGAGCCGGACTACAACTCCCAGCACACCGCGCGCTCGGCGCCCCTCCCGGCCTGCGGGGCGGTGGGAGCAGAGCGCTCCCGGCCACGCCCCCTTCCCTGCCATAGGTGGGCAGCAGTGACGTTTGCCCGCGGAGGCGGGAACGCGGTGGTGTAGGGGCTTCTGATTGGCGGATGGGACCGCCGCTCCTGGGCGGGGCCGGGGGCGGGGCGCAGTCGGAGGCGGTGCGCCCGAAGGCGGAAGCGGAGCATGGCGGCCGGTGCGGGCGCGCTGCTAGCGGCCGCGGCGCTGCTGCTGGCAGTGGTCGGGCCGCGCCCGGCTCCCGCCGAGCTCACGGATGGCAACAGCGAGCACCTGAAGCGGGAGCACTCGCTGATGAAGCCGTATCAGGGTGAGCGCGGGGCCGCGCGGACGGGACGGACGCCCCGCGGCGGCCCGGGCTGAGCCACGCTCTCTCCTCCCCTTTGCAGGCGCGGGCTCCGCCGCGATGCCGCTGTGGGACTTCCAGGGCAGCACCATGGTCACCAGCCAGTACGTCCGTCTGACGCCCGACGAGCGCAGCCGGGAGGGCTCCATCTGGAACCGTGTGGTGAGAGCCCGGGGGGAGCCCTCGGGCGGTGAGGGGAGACCGCGGGGGCCCGGGGAGGCCCCAGCGCCTCTCCTGTTCCGGCTCTGAGGCTGCTGGGTGGTCTCTCCGCGCAGCCCTGCTTCCTCAAGGACTGGGAGCTCCACGTCCACTTCAAGATCCATGGAGCCGGCAAGAAGAACCTGCACGGGGATGGCCTGGCGCTGTGGTACACGCAGGAGCGCCTGGTGCCAGGTACGGTGTACAGTCGGGGCTGCCCACCGGGATGAAGCCAGGTCAGCTTTCACGTGTACCCTGTCCCAGAGGGTTTCCCACCAGGGAGGGTGTTTGAGCTCCCCTCTGCCTGGTCTCACGAGATTGGATGGTGTGTTCTGCATCTTCAGACCCTTGGTCATCAGCCTGGCAATAAACAGCTAATGCAGCTCTTTTCAGTACAAGTGTCTGAGTATAAACTCTCTGGGAGCCTTTTGTTTCCAATGTTCTGCTCTGTTCTAGGTCCTGTCTTTGGCAGCAAGGACAACTTTCACGGACTGGCTATTTTCCTTGATACGTATCCCAATGATGAAGCAACTGAGGTGAGTCAGTCAGTGCCAAGGAGGCTGTTTCCTCAGCGGCTTCATGCTCCAAGTGCTTCCTGGCCAGAGCAAGAAAGAGGCTCTCCTTATATGATTGGGCTGCTCTTATCATGGGAGCTGGAAAAAGGAAGAGTTTATACATGGAGATAAGAAGGTCCTTGCTCCATCTTCTGCTGGTTTTGACTACACAGATGTTTCCAAAGCCCTTCCTCCTCCTCATGAGAGCATGGCACAGGGCTGGTATGAACTATGCACCAGCTACTAAGTAAGTTAGAGGAATCAGCCCAAGAGTATATTAATCCTGACTGTAATTTCCTGAACTTCTCTGTGCTTTGGTTACTTATTCCATGTTGTTCTTGCTTTATTCTCCATTGGCAACCTGGGTATCTAAAAGACAAACTCCTGGCCAGGCTTTTTGCTCCAGATTCTCCATGGCCCAAATACAGATCAGTCCCATGGGGCTGGTGGTCCTTTTCTTCTGCCCTGGTCTGTGTTTGTGGATCCCATTACAGTAGTCAGAAAACATAATTCTGCTAGTGAAATTTGTTGCACTGAGACCATGACAGTTAAGCCACAAAGCACCTGGAAATGACCCATGTACCTGTTATCTTGATGCTTGCTGGGAGGTCAATTCTTGCCTCCAGCTGACCTTTCTTGGTGTGTGTCATCTGCTGGCTACAAAGCCCTGAGCATTGTTATGCTGCTTTTGTGAGATTTCTGCCCATTCTGGGTCCTGTGCTCTGTTCTTCTTACCCAGGCTGGTGCTTACTGTGCAGGTTTGGGGTTGTCTCATTGCCCTGGACATGTGGCATGGTGTGGGCTTCTGCAGGGTCTTGATACAGAAGGTCAGAAGTGGCTGCTCTGCTCTAGCCAGAACATGCTCCCACTCAGTTTAGAAGCAGCTTTATGTAGAAAAGGAGCCTTGATTTCATTGTCCTGCCCTCTGCACCTGACTGTGCAGTGAAGCTGGGGCTCTGCTGCTGTGCCTTGCTGAGATCCTGCTCTCACTGAGGTTTCTGACCAGGCAGGGGAAGGTGGCTCTTGGTCTGCAGCCCCAAGGCTTGTGCAGGCTGAGGGCAGTGGCGCTCTCCTCCCTGCAGCGTGTGTTCCCCTACATATCTGCCATGGTGAACAATGGCTCCCTGACGTACGACCACAGCAAGGACGGGCGCTGGACGGAGCTGGCGGGGTGCACTGCTGACCTGCGGAACCAGAATCACGACACCTTCCTGGCCATCCGGTACTCCCGCGGTCGCCTGACGGTGAGATGTGGTGGATGCCTTCATGGTGTCTCAGGCGTGGTAGCCGGGCAGTGCTGAGGGGCGGGTGTTGCTGTGTCGGTAGGTGACCTGGAGATGGTTTTCCAGGCTCAACCGCCTGCCTCTCCTGCATGTCCAGCTCCAAAAGAGCTGCAGGCGTGCTGGATGGTGGCACCCACTCCTGGTGTGACGCTCGCCTGGTCTTGCAGGTGATGACTGATGTGGAAGACAAGAACGAATGGAAGAACTGCATTGACATTGCAGGGGTGCAGCTGCCAACCGGCTACTTCTTTGGTGCTTCTGCTGGCACTGGAGATTTGTCTGGTGAGAGGGGGCTTTGCTCGCAGGAACACGTTTGGAGCCTGGCTGGTAGCGCTGTGGGTGCATTGTATGGCTTTGATAGCTTTGTTTCCTCAAATTGTTCACCAGGCTCTTTTGAAGACCTTCTGGGTAGGGACCTGTGGCCTGGGAAGGGAGGTGTTTTGAGCCAAGGACCGTCTCAAACTGCAGTTTGACACCTGGGGTGTGAGGGGGGCTTGAGAAGGAAGGAGGCCTGGACCTTGTGGAGCATGGTGCTAGGGGTGTTCTGAGTGTGTGGATGTCTCTCAGAGCTCCTGACAGTGTTTGGTGCTGGTGGTTGTTTTCTAGACAATCATGACATTATCTCCATGAAGCTATTCCAGCTCATGGTGGAGCACCCCATAGAAGATGAGACCGTTGACTGGACCAAGATAGAGCCTAGTGTCAGCCTCCTTAAATCACCCAAAGGTAAGTGGGGTGATTGGGATTCGGAAACCTTCACTGGAGCACATCGGGGCTGGACTCTTGAAGGCATCAGAGCTCTGACACTGTGCAAGACTCCACAGGAGCCAAGGTCGGGTTGGTCTCTGTAGCTGTTCTTCTCCTTGCAGACAACGTGGATGACCCAACGGGGAACTTCCGAAGCGGGCCTCTGACAGGCTGGAAGGTGTTCCTGCTCCTGCTCTGTGCGCTGCTGGGCATCATCATCTGCGCTGTGGTGGGAGCTGTGGTCTTCCAGAAACGCCAGGAGCGGAATAAGCGTTTCTACTAGCAGCAGAGCTGGGCTGTGACCTGCACCCAGACCCATCTTTTTCTATGAGGAGCTGTAAATCTGTGGTTTCTAGAAGCTGTTTCTGAGATACATCAGAAGTATTTTTTATCTGTCTGTTTGGCTGTAACCCCTGCCTGGCACTTGGCAGTAGCTGGGTTGGACCGAGGGGGACGATGCCCGCTGGGACCCTGGGGCTGTTCTGCGGGAGCCTGGATGTCGCTCCCCGTTTTTCCAGCCCTCCTCCTGCCCGATGAGATCTCCTGGATGGGACCTGCCGTGCTGGGTGTGAATGTGAGGGCTGTGGGAGGGGGCTGCGAGAGGGGCATTAAAGGAGTGACACCAGCTGCGGCTCTGGCTTTGTATGGGGTGGGAAAGAGGGGGCTTTGCTGCAGTGGGGATGAAAGCCTGGGGGGCGTCCATTGGGGGTGGTTCCAGCTTGGTGTGGGGATGACCCGGGGGGGGTGTGTGTGTTCCCCGCAGGCTCCGGGGGTGACACGGAGGAAGGGGGGGGGGGTATCCTTGAGGGTTGCGGTGCGGTGCCCACCGGAGGGGGCGGCTGCGTGTCCCCGCCGGCGCCGGGCGGAAGGGAGCGGGGCGGAACGTCGGAGCCGGGCCCCGTTTCCGGCTGGGAGCGGCGGGCGCAGCCAGCGTGTCCCGCGGCGGCGCCGGGGCCGGGCGAGCGCCATGGGCCCGGCCCGCCGCAGGGCCGCGCTCCGCCTGCGCGGTGGCGGGTGAGCGGGGGGGGTCCTCAGGGGTGATGGGGGGGGGGGGGATCGCGGCGGCTCGGGGGGTCCCGGCGGGCGCTGACATCCGCTCGCGTTGTGAGCCAGGCCCCGCTGCCGCCCGGCAGGTTCTCCGTGTTCCCGTTGTTCTGCCTGGCGCTGCTCCTGGGCTTCGCCTCCCTGCTCTGGCTCCAGCTCAGCTGCTCGGGCGAGGGGCCGGCCCCCGGCGGCGGGCAGAGCTGGGGGGCTCCCCTGCAGCCCTGCCCGCCCCAGGCCCCGCTCCCGCCGGTGGAGGATGAACCGTCGTGGGGTCCCCATCGCCTGGCGCTGCTCGTCCCCTTCCGGGAGCGCTTCGAGGAGCTGCTGACCTTTGTGCCCTACATGCACCGCTTCCTGAGCACCAAGAGGATCCGGCATCACATCTTCATCCTCAACCAGGTGGATCATTTCAGGTAACGTGTCCCCTTGCCACAGCGAGCGAAGGGAGTGAGGGGAACCCCCTTCCAAACCCAGTCCCACCATGAGCACTGCACTTGCCTCTGGCAGTGTGAAGAGTAGGACCTGGGGAGAGATGCTCTCCCCAGATGTGCTCATGCTAGGGCTTACAGAAGAATGAGCTGGTGTTTTGCTTCTCTCTTCCTGAGCAAGAAGAGAATTATCTACCCCAGACATATCAGCTTGTTCCCTAGTGTCACCGGTCTATAGCAGTAAACATCTGGGGATGCTGAAATGAACAGAAACGCCATGGGGTGCTTGGGAACACTGTCGCTTAGCCCCTGCTCGCCATTTGGTACCTGCCTGCAGCTCCAGTGGGTGCTGTGGAGCTCCCCAGCTGGCTTTGGGCAGAATGGAGCTTACTATAGCTCCTTGGGGTCTGCAGTGGTCAGACCTCTGCGTGTCACCGTGAGGCTCAGCGTAAGCTTCAGGACAGGCAGGTGAGGCACCCAGTGCTGCGGAGGCAGGGAACACTGTGTGTGTGTGTCCTGTTTGGGGACCAGTTGGACATTTAGCATTGAGGAATACAGGAGAGGGATGTGAAGGGATGGTGGCAGCTGTGCATGGTGCTGAGAGTCTCTGTCTGTGGCAGGTTTAACAGAGCATCCCTGATCAATGTGGGCTTCCTGGAGAGTGGCAACGACACTGACTACATTGCGATGCATGATGTTGATCTCCTGCCCCTCAATGAGCAGCTGGACTACAGCTTCCCAGAGGCAGGACCCTTCCACGTGGCATCCCCGGAGCTGCACCCGCTCTATCACTATCAGACCTATGTGGGTGGTATCCTGCTGCTCACCAAGCAGCACTACGAGATGGTGAGTGCACAGGTGGGACATCATGGCCAGTCTGGGGCAAAAGCTATGACACTGTCGTGGTGGACGGGCATACATTGTGTGATCTACAGTTGGGATGGGGGAAAGGAGTCAACATGTTTGGGGTCAGAATCTGCAGTGTGAGCTGCTTACGGACAAGGGTTGGGAGGCTGCACTGGTGCTCAGAGCTTGGGATGCTGGTGTCTGCTCCACTGTGGTGTGTGGAGTTGTGCTGGACAGGACCTCAGCTAGTATGGTACCCTTCTCATTCCAGTGCAATGGCATGTCCAACCGCTTCTGGGGCTGGGGACGGGAGGATGATGAGTTTTATCGACGTATCAAAGGAGCTGGTCTCCAGGTGAGTGGTGCTCTGGGCCTCCTAGGTTGAAATTGCCCTTCTTGTCTCCCCTTTGGGTCCCTAGCTGTAGCTGCCCAGGTAGGGACCCGGGGAAGCAGCCCTTCAGTGCTTCCCACTCCAGTAGCAGGCGCAGCAAGTTTTCTAGCAGCTTTACAGAAGCTCTGCTCTCTTCCAGGTTCGCCGTCCCTCTGGAATCACAACTGGATATGAGACTTTCCAGCACCTGCATGACCCAGCCTGGAGGAAGAGAGACCAGAAGCGTATCGCTGCACAGAAGCAGGTGAGATGTGAGACCCTTGTCTGCTTGAGGGGAACCACAGGAGATGCAGGCTGTGATCATCAGCGTGTGCTCTGAGCTCTCCTTGCTCGTGTTCTCTCCTGCCAGCTCTGTGCTCCCTGCCCAGGCTCTGGGTACTTCCCCCTCTGCTGGAAGCCAGCATGGGCTGAATAGTCTCTGTCTTCCTCAGGAACAGTTTAAGGTGGATCGGAAGGGAGGACTGAACAATGTGAGGTACCGGATCGAGTCACGGACAGCTCTGAGTGTGGCAGGAGCCCCTTGCACCGTCCTTAATGTCTTGTTGGACTGTGACACAAACGAGACCCCTTGGTGCACATTTGGCTGAGCCAGTTGTGTCTCTGTGCTTGAGCCAACATGTCAGGGCTGCTGCCCAGCTGCTTGGACAAAGCAGGATCTTTGCAGTGGCTGATCGTGGCGGTGAGATGCAGAGGAACAGAAAAGGCCAAGAACCGGGCTTTGCTGGGTCTGACAGAAGAGGCTAAGAGCGGGACTCGGTGGCATTGCTGCAGACACTGGTGCTGTCTCCCAGGGGAGATGCAGGATGCTGTTTTCCTGCTCTGGACATGGCTGAGCTGCCACCCAGCTCAGAGGACAATAAAGAACTATTAGGGCACCTGTGTGTTTTGAGTGCCCTGGGCTGTGCCGTGCTGCTCCTTTTTCCTGCTCCCTTCAGCTTACTGGCTTCAGTGCACCCATTTCTGGCGTGGACCCAGCTATACTCCGGCTGGACAGGTGAGCTGCTCTGGTTTGGAGTCCAACACAGTCCAAAATGGGCTTCAAGTGAGGTGGTGCCTGTGTTTCAGCTGCCAGGTACCCCCAGGGCTGTGCTGCGGTCACTTCATTGCAGGAAGCGGTTGTGCCATGCCCTGAGCCCCAGCATGCGCAGCTCTGCTGGATGTCAGCAGTTTAGGTAGCCCAGGACTTAAGAGGAGTGAGCAGGAGAGCTCTGGCCGAGCTATTCCCTTCCTTGCCTGCCTTCTGTGGCATGTGCTACCTCAGCCTTTTTGGGAGCATTGGAGAGCCTGATGTCCCCCCGTAAGTGCTGTGGGAAATTGGATCTGCTCTGGCCCTGTATGAGGTACCCTGGGAAGGGCTGGCTGCCAGGCTCACCGCAGTGCTGGTGGAGCTGGGGTGATGGTGTGGGCGCAGGGCAGGAATTGGGACAGTTGCCCCTAACCTGCCTGAGTCAAGGGGAGCAAGAGCTTCCCTGGATGAGGCAGGAGCTGGAATGCTCCCTCAGAGGTGGGAAAACAGGGGTTTGGGTTGAGAGAGACGCAAGGCTGTGTGGGGCCCAGGCTGCAGATCTCACCCACTTTCTCTTGCTGCCAGGCTGGTTTCTCCCATGTTGTGGCAGGACAAGGGCCTGGGCTGCCTCTACCAGCAGGGTTCAGGGGTATTCACTTGCTGAGGATATCAAATGCTGGTCCCCCACTGCTGGCAGGGCTTGCAAGGGCTCTGCTGTGGGCTCAAGCACCTCACTGTGGATGTGGCTTGTCTGGGCCAGTGAGTGGGTTGGGGAAGGTGCCTGGGTCAGCCTTGGGGTGCTGGTGGGCAGGAGGTGGCTGGGCAGATGCGCCCTGCAAACCCTGGGTCTCTGACCTGCTGCTGCCAGAGCAAGAGCAGCCGTGGGAGGTGGCAGAAGCACTGATGCTGTGTGCTGGGAGAGTGCCCTGGGGCAGGAGACATGAGGAGGAAGTGAAGAAGAGGAGGAGGCGAGTGTCCTCTTGTGGCTGCTGGGAACAAGCTGCAGTGCTGGACCCAGGCAGTGGGAAAGCTGGGAAGGTGCCAATGGGTGAGGAAGGGCACTGGGTACTGGCAGTTACTTGAGTTTGGTAGAAATCAGCCACGCCAGCACCTTTTGCTGGGAAGTGGGATGTGAAGAATTGGGAGGGACGGATGTAGGGGCCCACATGCCCTGCTCAGGAGCCAGCTCTCGAGTCCCAGGCAGCAGTAGGAGCCGTGGAGGAGCACGTGGTCCATATCCACTCATGCTGGGACCAAACAGGCGCTGTGACCTCTAGGATGCTTCTGCTCACCCTGACCTGCTGAGGGTGGCCGAAATGCCCACCAGCTCTCAAAGGAGGCCCCTGCCAGCGCTGGACTCCTCTCTGTCACCAGCCTGGCCTGGCCGCCTGCTGGGTGAGATGGTGCTGTGCTGCTCAGCAGTGGAGGGTGCTGGGCTGGCTCACAGATGGTGCCATGCGCTGGCTTTGAGGTCTTGGCATGCGTGTGGGGTTCTGCTGCCTCCTCAAGCTGGGCAGACCCAGCCGAGCAGCCGGTACCACTCCGTTCAGCCCCGTCTCCAGTGCTGGCACCAGGCCCTCCGCATTTCCTGGCCCCTTTCATCCTGGTCCCCTGCCTGGCACTTCCTGGAGCAGTTGCTTTGCCGGGTGCCTGCAGATGTCCCCAGACAGAAGTTGTTGCCATCCCAGGAAGATGAGCGGCCCCAGGGACATGGCACCTCCGGTGAGGAGCACTGGGATAAGGGAGGCACAAGCATCAGAACCAAGTGTGGGGTTTGTGTACTGTGTAGGGGCAGCAGGATGAGAGAGGAGCGTCTGGAGAGATGTGGTGCTGTCTGCTCTCCATGCTGCTCTGGAGCTGGGTGAGGATTCCAGAGCCCTGTGGACTGGGGTGTGAGAGGAAATGCCTCCTGATGAAAGGGTGCACGGTGATAAGGATCAGGCCATGCTGCTTTGCATCATCCAAGGCCCAGGCAGACCCAGCCTCAGGGGATGTCCTTGCCCCAGGGTGAGGACATGCTGGGGACGCGCTACCAAAGAGCTCCCAACAACAGCCTCTGCAGCCTGGCAGCCCCAGAGGCGCAGTGCTATCTGGCATGAAGATTGCAGATGGGCTTGGACACAGTGCGTGGCTCCAGAGGTGTTCCCAGGATCCATCATGTCCTTCAGTGAGGTTGGAAGGAGATGCTGGTCCAGTGTCTCCAATGCGCAGGTTTTGGAATTGACCACCTGTATTGCAGGCACTTACCGGTGCCTGAACCGCAGCCAGGGCTGGCGGAGGCAGATCAAAGTATTTATCTGCACCATTCAAAATAGATGACACAGTTTCAGGCAGGTTTCATGAAGACGTCGATGTGCAGAAACAGAGAGCATATGTGCCCCTCGCACTTCGCTCAGCGCTAAAGGCTTCTCTCCCGCTGCCTGGCAGCTATTTCTCAGCTCTGCTAGCAGCCCCCTCATCCTCTGCTTGCTTTTGTGGAAGAGGCACCGTGCTGGAGACCCGGCTTCCTTTTATAGCTCTGAATGTGACTCCGAGGTCGCTCGGCTCTGTTTCACCCCCCCACGCACTTCGGTATTAGCAATGGCCCAGCGGGAGGGGATGAAGTTTTTCCCCATCGCCTTTCTGCAAGTGGATAGCACCCTGCCTGCTATCCCTGGAGCCCCACGGCGCTGAGCTGGAGGCCTCCTGGTGCTCCCATACTCTCAGCAACCCCGAGGTGGGGGTCAGGGTACTCAGGGGGCAGAGAGATCCTGCAGAGTCCCAGGCCTGCTGCCCCTTTGCGACCCCCTTCTGTGGCCCAAATTGCCATCAGTGAGGCTGCAGGGGAGCTACTGCATTTGGTTGGCTTTTATTGCCAGGTTGCTTGAACCGAGTGGTTCCCAGAGCTGTTTGCTGGCTGCCACATGCACTTGCTGTAGTATCGTGATGTAAAGGGACTGGGGACTGAAGGGAGCAGGGAGATGGGGGCTAGAGAAAAGCCAATGGGGGGCAGGAGGATCTCAGCATCCCTGGCTGTCAGAATGTCCCAGGCAGGGACGAGCCTTGGGGCGCTGTGGGAGCTGCCAACGCTGGGAGACATGCAGGTGGAATGTGGTCCACAGTGGAGACAGGAAACGGCGCAGACAGGAGGGAGGGAGGGGTGCGGCTGTGACCAGCACCCGCTGAAGTCAGCCTGGCATCACTGCAGCCTGCCTGGTCCAAGGCCCCGGTGGGATGCTGTTACATGCCTCTGCAGCATGACCCTGTTCCTGCGGGCTGCTAGGGGTGCCCCATTCATAGCTGAGCTCTGGAGGATGGGAAATGCCACCATTGCAATGGGTCCCCAATTCAGAAGCCACAAGCTGCCGCTCCAGTGTACGGCTGGGCAGTGAAAATGGGCTGTGGGGAACAGGGAGGGTGGGATGCAGGGACCGGGTGCATGCCTTGGCACTGCACCAAGGATAATGTGAGCATGTGAGCAGGGCCCGGGCACAGTGTGTGTGTGTGGGTGAGCACTGGCAGCACAGAAAGGACTCTGGTGTGTGGTGGGGGAGCTGGCAGTGTTGGGGCTCTGGTGCATGCAGGATACATGGGTCCTGTACCCAAACTGGGGACAGAGCGGGGCAATCCTTGCCCAGGGAGAGATGGGCACCGTGTGGGGCTGCTGCAGGTGTCCCGCTCCTCCAGGAGGCTGAATGCCCAGTGACCAGCTCTGCCCTGTGCCGGGATCCCCTGCTCCCTGTGCCTGGCACGGTGCAGGGGTGCTGAGTGACAAAACCGGCTCCCGGCCATGATGCGGCAGGGCTGATTTAGAGGGATGAAGCGTGTCGTGTCTCATCGGCACCAGGCCAGGCGCTGGGGCAGGTGGCAGCTCCCCAGAGGTTATTCCATGCCTTCATGGCATGCCACGGCCCGTGGATGGAGCTGTGCAGCGCAGGCACCTCTGGTGAATCCTGCCCTCCCCCGGGTGCTGTGTTGGGAGCACAAGGGGCTGTCCTACAAAGGGAGGATGCAAACAGTGCCCCACAGGACCCGTCTGCCTCCCGCAAGGGCGTGGTGAAACCATCGAGGCTGGGCAAAACTCTTCTCCCCTACCCTGGTGGCCCAGGGGAGGGAGAAACGGCCTGCTCCTACCAGCCCCCCCGCCACGGTGATGGGCACCGGCGATCGGCTGGAGCCGCTGCTGCCGGTCCCGGGGCTGTAACCGAGGGAGTTTGCAGGGGGCTCACCTCAGTGGGTGCTCGGCGCTGCACGCAGCCAGCCCGCCCCGGACACCGCCCTGACCCGCCCCGCCGGTGGGCACGGCCGGGCCGTCCCCTTTCCTCCTCTTCCTCCTCCCGCCCCTTCCCGCACCGCCGCCGCCGCCCGCCTCCGTGCCGCGATTTGCCGGTGCCGGCTCCGCCCGCTGCCCGCGCGGCCGCGGCCGAGGGGCGCGTTCAAACACGGCGAGGGAAGGAGCGGCGAGAGGAGCCGAGCGGGATCGCAGCGCCGCCGGCATGGTGAGTGCGGGCCCGGTGTGCCCCCCCCACCCGGGGAACCCCGGTGCGCTCCGGTGCCCTCCGCCGTGCGGGGCTTTGTCCCGGACTGCAGCGCGCTCGGCCGGGCCCGGCCCCGGGTTCCGACCTCCCCCTCCGCCTTCTCCGTGCCGGAAATTCCGGCCGTGCTCGGTGGAGGCTGCGGGGAGGTGCAGGGGGGGCTGCGGCGAGGCGGGCGCGGGAACCCCGCAGCCCCCCCGGTTCCCAGCCGGAGGCCATGGGAGAAGGTTTGTGGCCGGCTCCTGCACGGGCAGGGCTGGACGGGGGCAGGGCTGGGGTTGGGACCAGATCTCATCTGGCACCCCTGAAAGGAGCCGGGCTGGCCGGACCGGTGTTTTGCCGCCTGGGGGGTGATGCCCTTCCCGCCGCAGGCAGGACACCTTCGGGCTCCCCCGGCGT